CCAAAAGGATGTCCAAGTTCTTGTCAATTTTCTCCCAATTTTGCGTAATTCTGACTTTATCCGAGGTATACAGGTCCTGTTCCCGTGCAGGAAGGCTCCGTGTGTTTGAGCATAAATACTCACAAACGTATCCATATTCTGGCAATCGTGGTGTTATCTGAAAGAGCGCATGTTCCTCTTTCAATTCATGTAAGTTTCATATCCTTTTCATATCCTTATTTGCTTTAATTGGGGAAATATCGTCATAAGAATGTGCTAGATCTTGTGCAACTGATTGCTATTTTTGTGTAATTCTGACTTGGTCTCCGCAATGCAAATTCAGTATAGTCAAGACAATGCTCTATATATTGGAGCATAAATGGTCTAAAACCTATCTAATGATTGCAATTTTAGTGTCTTCTGGAAGACCACAAGTTCCCCTATCGATTGATCTAAGTTTCATATCCCTATCTACTGTAGTTAGGGAAATATCTATAAAAGGATCTCCGACTTCTTCTCAACTTTTTCTTAATTTTGCGTAATTCTGACTTTATCCGAGGTATACAGGTCCTGTTTCCGCGCAAGAAGCCTCCGTGTGTTCGAGCATAAATGGTCTCAAACGTATCCAATTCTGGCAATCTTGTTGTTATATGAAAGAGCACATGTTCCTGTTTTGATTATTGTAAGATTTATATCCATACTTGATCTAGTTGGGGAAATATCGTCATGAGAAGGTGCTAGATCTTGTGCAACTGATTGCTATTTTTCGTAATTCTGACTTGGTCTCCGCAATGCAAATTCAGTATAGTCAAGACAAGGCTCTATATATTGGAACATAAATGGTCCAAAACTTATCTAATCATGGCAATTTTAGTGTCTTTTGGAAGACCACAAGTCCCTCTAATGATTGATGTAAGGTTTAAACTCATATCTGCAGTAGTTGGGGAAATATCTCCAAAAGGATGTCCGAGTTCTTGTCAACATTCCCCTAATTTTGCGTAATTCTGACTTTATCTAAGGTACACAGGTCCTGTTCCTGCACAAGAGGGCTCCGTGTGTTCGAGCATAAATAGTTTCAAACTTATCCAATTCTGGCAATCTTGGTGTTATTTTAAAGAGCACATGTTCCTCTTTCAATTCATGAAATTTTCGTATACAAATTTGCTGTAGTTAGGAAAATATCGTCATAAGAATGTGCTAGATCTTGTGCAACTGACTGCTATTTTTTCGTAATTCTGACTTGGTCTCCGCAATGCAAATTCAGTATAGTCAAGACAATGCTCTATATATTGGAGCATAAAAGGTCTAGAACTTATTTAATAAGGGCAATTTTAGTGTTTTCTGGAAGACCATAAGTTTTTCTATCGATTGATGTAAGATTCATATCCATATTTTCTGTAGTTAGGGAAATATTGTCATAAAAATGTGCTACTTCTTGTGCTACTGATTGCTATTTTTGCGTAATTCTGACTTGGTCTCGGCAATGCAAATTCAGTATAGTCAATACAAGGCTCTATATATTGGAGCATAAATGGTCTTAAACTTATCCAATAAGGGCAATTTTAGTGTCTTCTGGAAGACCACGAATTCCTCTATCGATTGATGTAAGTTTCATATCCATATCTGCTGTATTTAGGGAAATATCTCCAAAAAGATGTCCGCGTTCTTGTCAACCTTCTCTTAATTTTGCGTAATTCTGACTTTATCTGTGGCCTGCAGGTCCTGTTCACGCATAAGAAGGCTCCGTGTATTCCAGCATAAATAGTCTCAAACGTATCCAATTCTGGCAATCTTGGTGTTATCGGAGAGAGCACATGTTCTTCTTTTGATTCATGTAAGTTTCATATTCATATTTTCTGTAGTTAGGGAAATATCGTCATAAGAATGTGCTAGTTCTTGTGCAACTGATTGCTATTTTGGTGTAATTCTGACTTTGTCTCCGCAATGCAAATTCAGTACCGTCAAGCCAAGGCTTTATAAATTGGAGCATAAATGGTGTAAGACTTATCTAATAATAATTTTTGTTTAATAATTTGTATTTTCTGGAAGGGCACATGTTCCTCTACCGATTGGTGTAAGTTTCATATCCATATCTGCTGTAGTTAGGGAAATATCTCCAAAATGATATCCGAGTTCTTGTCAATTTTCTCCTAATTTTCCGTAATTCTGACTTTATCTGTGGTATGCAGGTCCTTTTAATCGCATGTTTATATACATGTACTGTACATGTACATCCTGCACATGGTGTATGCCCGCACATCGCCACATTTATGTGTATGCATTTAGTTTGTGTATCCGCGCATGCGCAGTAGTGACATAGGCCTGATGGTCGTCGGCCTGAAAAATTATTCTTGCAGACGACACGTATTGATGGTGACCCATGTGATGAATTTGTACTGCCATTTCCCTTGAAGACCTCGTGTGTGAATAAATTGCTAAGAGCTTCTGGTAAGAAAGATCGCCGGAAATTAATCAAAGAAAGCGGAAAATTAAACGACCATGTTTAAATTATAATAAAAATAGTGTTTTGTGCCTAATTTGCACAATTTGTCTGAGTTCACCTTCCAATAACTTTGATGCAACATGAAAGAATAGTTCATTGTTACTGTTATGTACAAAAAAAGGTTATTAAGTCTAGGAAAAAACGTTTTAAATTCACTTCGTTTTTCATTGGGACCCATTTTCGTCATTTTCGGTGTTTTTCACGTTACTTGTGCCCACTTTTCACACTTTTGTCAAATTCTCCACATATCATAGGCGATACTCTCTAAAAAAAAACTGATAAATTTATTGTATCTATCTGCTCATTTTTTTCAAGATCGAGAGCCATTTGTCTGAGATGCGTTTCGTTTTTCATGCGGATTCAAATGTCTGCACTGAGTTTAGTAGCGGTCAAATATGAGATGTCCGGATTTGGGCTTGGTGCACATGTACACGTACATATAACTGGATACGAGTGCGTTTGGGTACGAGTTAACCTACTGCATTGCATTAATACTTGCAATTACGTCAAATTGCCCCACTAAAAGACACAAACAAGAACTTTCCGTTCTCATCGGCGCGGTTTCCTTCCTATATGATTTAGAGTGTTCATGATATTCCTCACCATTCGCAAGTAGAGAAATGTCAGGGACAACCTGGCAAAGTTGAAAAAATTCCCTTCTAAAATGTTGGCTTTACTTACAACTTCTGACTCAGTTACTTTGGAGCTACGTGACAAACACGGGCAAAAAATTGGAAGCAAATGGATTTTATATTGTGCAAGTTAGCAAAAGGTGACTTTGAGTGTTCAATTTCAAATTGGCATTGAAATGGGGGGCAAACAACTGTATCTGAGCTTCATGCTGATTGATTTCTTTTGGGGTCCACTTGTCCGAGTCAAAAGCCATTTTACTGGCTGCTGCTGCTGTAGTGGGATTCAGTGTGCATACGTGAACATACGTGATCGGCGCGGAGCTGTGTAAACAGCATCCTATCAAGTTATTGCGCTGTGATTGGCCGGCAATGAAATAGCAATTTCCATATATGTCAGTGGTTTCTGCGTGTAGTTAAAAGCAAGCTCTACTATGACTCGTGGTAGCATTATTCAACTGTAAATTTGCGGCTTGATATAACTTTGCGTCCAGTGAAAGAGAGCTGATGACAACTGGTGCAGGGTGAGCGAAGTTATTGTGTCATGCGTTCCCGGCACGTTTCTGTATCGTTTTGCGCTGGCCTTCAAACTTTTTGGACATAAGCTCGTCTAAATATCGGTGCAGTAAAAATGTACAATTGTCCAAAGAGGTTTTGTTTTTGATACAGTTTTTGACAAGACAGATTTGCAAGTTACAAATCAGCAGAAATAAACGTGAATGGAATACACTGTAGACGGGCTAGCAACACAGTCCGCGCCCGAAAAATAGTTTCGACATCCGATCCAGGCCTACACGTATAGATGCACATTCCATCAAGAATTGCAATTTTGAAAATATGGTCAGATCAGATGGGGGCAGCCAGCTCGCCCATCAAACCTCGGTGTCTACAATATTGGGATACCGATTACTAGTTCATTTTAACATTCAAGAATTTTTGCCAAAAGCGGAATATTCCAAAATATGCTCATTTGTTGCTTTCCTGCGTATAATTCATATTTTCTCCCAACGTCACTGCAACGTACCACCAGCCAGCCCTCTCTAGAGAGGCATTATCGCCACATTTATTTGAATTTTCAACTCTGATTTCAACCATAATCTGGTACAGTCTGCACTAAGAGACATAAAAATTAAACAGGGATAAAAAGCAAGTCCGCGCCGTGGAACACGGTTGAACTAAAAACTAGCTGTGTTTTCATGTTTATTTCTTAGGGTTATGTGGCTGACATTTGATAAATAGATTGTAAATATACCGTTTTCTTTTCAAATGAAGCATTCTTTGTTTGAACCACTCCAATCAGCTAAATTTTATTTCGCTTGTTCTGTTTAGGCTTGTTTAATGCAAGTCAATGCAAGCAAAAGAGGAACATGTATATGTTGGTTTGGTTAAGTTGATCGGTGAAGGATCAGCGACTTAAAACTGAGGTTTGAAGGCCAAAAATTATTATATCGCCGATAGCCAGACATTTCGTTTTCTTTTTCAAGAAAAATGTGATTCCAAATATATAAGATATCGAGTCACGACAATAAATTTAACTCGTGTCATTCATTCACAGTCTGAATTAGAAAGGAAGCCGCGTTTTCTTAGTTCTTCTTTCAAAGTAGGTATTTTTTTGTCAGTACGTGCAAGTGCGTTACTTATTTTTTGTATTTTTGTTGAAAATCTGAATTCTCGAGGCATTCTTTTGCTGGAAGTCTGAATTATCTAGGTATTGTTTCAAAAATAGAAATTGGAAACTGGAAACTAAACTATGATTGAAATCTGGACATTCTAAACAAGACTTCTACAAAGCACATGTGCATAATGTACTCAAGTCATTCAATCATGAAAGTGTTGTAAAGAGAAATTAACACTTCAGATACCAAAGTACTTGTTCATTACTGTCATCACTCCTGAAAATGAAACAAAATGTCACGGTTTGCAAGATAATCCCGTTTCTACGTGTAAACCATGCCTAATGAATGGTTCGTAAGAATCTATTATAAAGAAGAGCAGACACAAAGTCTAAGTGAGAGAGATGGTAATTGTCAATCATATTCCTCAAGTACTTCAGTTCACTGGCAGTGCTATTTCAACGCAAGTCATTGTTCTTGAATACCTGAGTCGTGACGAACCACACTTGCCAGTTGCAGCCAGTTTTCCCTTTTGAGTTTAGCAAACAATTTTTTTTTGCAGATCGATTCAGCGCGAATCTCGCATAGAAGCGGTTCATCCAACTCCAAAGTTGATTCGGACCGCGCGCCACCGGTGTGTTGTCTACACACGGCAAGTCGCCTCCTTGTGCCGTGCAGCGTGTCTGCATCAAGCAAGGTCACTGGGAATGCTGCGTGCCCATTCACGGACGCCCAGATTGTACATCACCTCTGCCGACTTGCAGATTTTCACCGCATAAGGGCAGCTTTCCAATTACTTCTACAAAGTTTTGCAGAAGTGGTCGACACGCGACTTTTGGAGATTCGAAGTTTTGGACACACCTTTATTGATTTCTAATCAACAGGGACATTTCAGACAAAATAATTTCACAGGGTTATTATCACCATTACCATCTTTATACCAGATATGCTTTGGAATAAAAATCCCACACTTCTTTTCTGGGGGATTACCAAAGCATGACGCCACCTTTAATTAAGCAGTATAAATTTCCTCGTGTCTTGAATTTAATGGTCCACTTTAGAACAGCGTTAAAACAAACTGGTCTCGTATTACAACTGCATTAGCATAATTTTGATAACTGCGTTCCGCCATTGTGTCCTCCAATAGCAGAGTGTGTCCACTGTCTAAAAATAGCAGCTCCGTCTTACTTCATGTGTACCTACATTGTTTCTGGTGTATTTGAAAAGTAACTTTTAAAGCCATTATTATATATCTGGTTTTCTCTAGATAAACTGCGTTTTTGCAATAAGAATTGGGTGATTTCCTAGTACATCACGAATTTCTTGTCGCTGTTCAACTTTGCCATCAGTTTCTTGGTCATCATCTTGGCTGCAGCCTTCTGCTTCTCGCTGGGCTGCTGCTCCAGTTGCTTGCACTCAGCGGGTAGCTTGAACCAATAAGCGGGGTCGCTGATCCCTTCCACATAGTCGAAGTACTGGGCGCGAATGGACAGCGGGACTTCGGCACCCACGGCGAGACGCGACTGGTTGAAGGGGACGGGCAGGGTTAGGGTCCCATTGAAGCCTGAAGATCAGACATAAATTCAACGAGAATGCTTTGAGGACGTAGCTTGCGTGTGCATACAGAGTTTTGTTAATCTCTAAACCCTTTCATGAAGTTTCACTTTACTTCAAAGAGTGTACACCTCGTGTGAGGAGATTTGCTAACCAACACAGAAATTATGTTCTTTCTTGGGCTGCATACTGTCCTCATGGGGCGCTTGAAAAGGCTTGAATGCCTTCGTTACATGCCTCGTGTAATTTCTTCAGAAGCTTGATGGATAAAATTTGTATGAGAAATAAACAGAATATCACTTCTGAAGTTTATAAATAAATAACATTTTGAGTGCCTTGTTTAAGGGCGTTTGGTACCACCAAAGAGAGTTTAATGGCATTCACCTGCAGAGGACGCACTTGATGTGGTACCGGCAGCCTTCCTGCTGACTGCATATTGATACGGGATACACTTGTCGGCACCGTAGACGAAGTCGTAGACTTGATTGTAGCCCTGGTGCGGTATCTCCAGATAGAACAAGTTGGCTGAATACTCACCCAATCCGAAAGTGTAAGAATGTCCATACTTGGCAACCGCTGTGTGGGGGTGAAGGGTGAAGGAAAAATAACAATACAAAGTGTTCATAGCTTCTCTGCTCTTGCTAGTGGTGCTCACAACCAAACGTTTTGGGGGCAATCGTGAACGTTCCAATTGTCCTCTGTTGTTCATTCTTTAACTTTTTTGGAAGGCCTCTCATATGTTTTGTACACGTTTGACAATCGTGGACGTATCGGGAATCGTGGACAGTCATTAAATCTTTTGTTTAACGCCCACAATTGTTTGGGAACATCAGTGCATCAAGAATGCGTGCTATTCAAAGAAGACATTGGGTACACATGAGCCTTTTTGGTGTCAAGTCCTACGTCGGTCAAATTTAAGGGTCGCCGCGCCTGTTTCAACGCACGTTTCATCGCTATAGAGGCACGCTCATGACGTTGCTCATCTCCACTGCTTTGGAACACATCGTATCATTTAGTTTGTGGCTTGATTTGCGAGGACAAATCAGTTTAAAAACTCCTTCCCATAAGGAATGAACGTGCAATCTGTGCTGATGCAATGTGTTACAGGTATTCGGAACATCAAATGAGGCCCATCATCAGTAAGGGCGCTTTGTACAACAGACGTCCTCCGTGAACAGTTTCACTCACTCACCTGGCACGCAGAGTTCAAGAAACTGATAGTGCAGTGTTTCTTTGGTGCACTTCCCATTCCTGATAACGTATTTCGCCCCCTGCACAAAAAATCATGCATAAACAAGTCTCACGGTTTACGCCTGCGTTTACATGTACGACCGCAACACGGATCGAGTAAACGAGGTCAACAATCCGATTTGTGTGGATCTGAGTCCGTTTTAACACTTTTAAATGCACTCGGTTGTCAGAGCTTTTCAACAACAATGTTGTTATTCATCAATGATTTGGTCTTAATTTGATGTTGGTGTAAACTGCAGGATTTAACTTGGCTATTTTTAACTTGTGACTTTGCTTTGGTAGAAGGGGTGTAGTTCTTTGGGTTATATATGTCAAAGTTGATATTTTTTCTATTTTGAACAACAGTTTTACCATCGTAAACAAACAGAGTTTATAGTTTCCTTAAAAATAGCATGAAAATCAACAGAATACATAAAAATAAAAACAAGGCAAAAGATACATATTGTCACTCAGTAAAAGAGTGCATGTCTGTTTCAGGCACCAGTGTATTTTTAGTATTGTTTGATGGGAGGTTTGTGGGTGTTCGTCAAGGTTTACGTGATATTGTGATGTCAGCATCTTTTGAAAACTGTTGGTCCAGTGCTATAGACCTTGTCACTAATAAATTCATAATTATGCACGCATACGCACAAATGGGTCTAATGGGGTTTTTCTGAAGAAAAACAACTGAGCATAACCAGAAAACCTGACGGAAGATGATCAAAATTGCACCCCTACACGTTTTCAATGACCTGCTCACATTCTTGCCCCCAAGGTCATTTGTGCGCATGCGTGTATAATTATGAATTTATTAGTGAATAGGTCTACTGAATAGCAACTTATTGCAGATCGGGTGACTACGAACTTGTGACCACAATGAGCGTCTCACCTGTGGGAAGAGATAGATGGTCTTAGACTGCACTGTGGCTCCTGTCACAGAGTCGTACTGGAACAAGATGTCCGTCAAGAGCTTGTTAGTGGCGTCATAGGCCTTGTGGACCTGTTGCTCCAAAGTGGTCACGACGCCATCGACCAGGTCAGTGGTCTCCTCGTCTGTACAAAACATGTGCATAGGATTGTGTCAGGGAGGGTATATCATCTTGGAGATTTCTTCCATACCGCGCAGATGTGTAGAGGGGCGGATCTTGTGAGGGGGCTTTGGTTGGCTATTGCTTCACATGACATGAGGTGACATGACGTGTGGTTTACTTATATTTTCAAGTGAAACTCCTTATTCTGAATGGAAAGTATCATATGCAACTCATTCCTGAGAAATTAATCTCATTCTCATTCGAGTTCCTTGTGTGAATCCATTCTACAAACTGTAAACAGTTGAATAGGATGGTTCTGGAGCTTTCAATGATTGGGTGTTTTTTCAATCCTCCTCTTTATTTTTTGTTACTCTGTACACAGAGTAACAAAAAATAAAGATGTGGGAAAAAATAATTAGGAGTACACTCACAAGTATTGCTCTTTTTACAAGAAAAGACTTCTATTTAATTTGTCGTGATATGTTACTTTCTTTTCATTTTTATCCTTGAGTTTCCAAATCATACATTTATTACCAAGTCATGTCTGTATTGCGTCTGTATCTTTCTGTAATTTTGCCGAAACTTTTCAACGAGTTTTACGAAAACTTTCCACAATCTGACCGCTGGTGGCGCTGTTGAGGAACGAAATTTGTATGATGTTATACCGGAGAAAACATTGAACTCGTATCCGTGGCACGACGTAAACGTACATGTACTTGAACATGGAGCTAGATGTGCGACTGCGTGCACTGCGGACAAGGGATCGATCTGTGTGCCGGTCTACTGCGCCACATTATCTCTTCTCCGTCGAGAGTCTGTGCTCCTTTCTTCATGATTTACAATAATGCTGAAATCGCGCGTCATTGGTGGATGTATAAATTCTGCGAAAGAACCGGGGTTTGAAATTCTTTGAGTTTCCAAAGAATGAGAGCATTCTTCAAGTTGTCCACGGCTACGCGTACGCGTGCTATGCATGCCTAAAGTCACGCACTGTAGTATTTTCTCCCTACGGTAATGCATCGCAAAAGTCAATATCAATTTCATGTTAATGAGTCGTGACGACACGTCTATTTTTACAATAGCGGACTTAACTCACAGGAAAAATGGGTACAAAAATTATGTATTGCAGGGGGGATATTGATATGTACCACATTTATTAGACTTGGCTCTTTTTGAATAAGATTCAATATTAGAAAAGTTTGCATCGTTAGCATTGGTCTTAATATAGATGAATCCTCAATGCGGTCCACAGGTCTCGAAAGAGACTTACGCCCAACACCGACCCAACAGTCAAGAAAGCTTCTCACTGCACAACCCAGTGAAAAAAATAACTATAGAGGTACCCCGATATTTGTCTTTCCACTCTCGCTAAAAGAAAGCGTCTTATATTGACTTAACAGCAATACAGGTTGGCCTTGTACACGACAGCCATAGCACAACCATTACAAAAAATTATCCAAAATACCGTCACTCACCAATCCTGATGGTAAACTGCTTTGGAGGGCAGCACGGGGTCGGTTCATCTGCTCCCACGGCGGCAAGGCAGGCCAACAACAGAGTGGTGCTGAGGTAAGACACCATGACTTTTTGTACCTGGGATTACACCTTTACTTGAAGACAAAATCCTTGAGTCTGGTGTGATTTCGCTGCACTGCCCACTGATGGTAACAGGACGGTACGGGATACGAACCCTTTTTGACTCGGCCCAAATCAACAGCAGGTATTGTGGAATTTCATGGTACAATGGGATTTCATGCGTTAATATAAGAATAGTTTCCACAAACCAAGCAAGGTCGTCTGGGTTTAACAATGCTTCACCAGGGTCTCCTTATACGCGCCAGCAGTTCTTTTTGTTCGTTGGGGGCAGCTCAGTAATCTGTTTTCTTTAATACTCGCATGTTATACCTGAGTTATGTGTGAATAGCTGTACACTTTGCAATGGCGGCTGCAAGCGAGGCAGGCTAACCTTTATCAAAATAATTGAAGTTCACATTCTCATGTGAGATCTTGCACGAACTGAATCCTTGCGTGCTTTCAAGTATGGACGTTTATATAGATTATATGGAAATTCAATCATTTATCCAAGCGAAAAAATATATTATTCTCAGACGAAAAGCCACTTATAAATTAAAATATAAGGGTATGTATTACATGTTGTTGCTGCGTCACTATTGCCCTTCATTCTTTGATAATTTTGATTATAATAAAGTTTATTTGGAACATAAAATCCTGATAATTTATCAAAGATGGCCTTCTTGGATAAGCAACATATTGTCTTTTGCTAAATTCCTTTATATTAATGACATGTTGGAATTGTCACTGTAGACCTGCTGCTATTCACTTTCTCGATATTGGCTGTCTTGATTGCGAAAACTGGTCGTTTTTCCGTCGTTGTCACCAGCCTGGCATAGCGCTTCTAGTTTCAGGGCATATCTGGGCTTTTCCGAATGATGCGTGACACTGCAGTAGAGTCGTTATTCACGACGGATAAAACGACATGTCGGTCTCTGGGCAGATTCGAGTTTGTTCTGCACGCAGGTTTTTTTAGTAGACAGAGATAGCTGGTGGGACCGTTTAGACACCCACATTAGTTTCATGTCAACTTTTTTTTTAAAGATAGTATAACCTGGAGGTTAAGCATGAGGCCGCTGTCCACAGCTCGCAAGTAGGTCCAAGCCCACGTTAAAATCTAGTTGGTGTCTTTTGGATACTTTCTCTACGCGGATACTTTCTCAACGAATTGTATTTTCCTATTGTATGGCAGGTAGTACTCTGCAAGGAGTACGTTTTCGTATGAAGATGAGGACGACTGGAATGCTACGCATGAGTAGAGCTCGGAAGGTAGTAAGGAGACAGTAAATAGGCAATTGATGGTTTTCACGAGGGCCCACGCGGACGTGCCTGCTTTTTTCCCAGGTGTGAGTGGTCGCAGGTGCGTTTGGCTTCTTATCGCTAGCCGCTTGGATAAGACAAGGCAGGTGAGAAAAGCTTTCATGAAGGTAGTATTTTATATACGAATATATAAATACAGGGTTTCGTATACAAAGGTTTGTGTACCATTGGTCTCAGTTAAAATATATCGGTTCCAGACTTCCCGCAGGCTACTCATCGTCGAAAAACCGTGCTCCCCATACCATGTGTATTTGTAATGTTTTTGTTGCAGCTAGGGACTGCAGGCGCAATAAGAAATAATTTATTTCCGGTTGAGCTTGCGAATTAGTAAATAATATGGTAAAACGGTTGTGAAGGGCCTGTATTTGTGTGACTGATATCAATAGAGGGCGCAAGACGATAAAACCAGTTGTCCCGAAACTGGCATATACATGTAAGTGGACCCCGTATCTGGGCAAAGGCGCAGAGGTCAGAGTTGTTATGAGAACCAAGCTGGACCGAGAAGACAAAATTTTCCTACCAACGCATGCTCTTTTGGCTGGAACTGCACTTCGCTGCATGGCTCACAGACGACTATGAAATGCAAGCGTTGCGGTCACCTCGCTACTGGCAAAATGAATACTCCCTATCAACCTGGCTCTTTTCAACCGATGATGGGGTGCTCCTGCTCATTCCGGATACACTGTAAATTTGTTGAAATTTTTGAGCAAGTAAAGGAGGAAGAAGGGAACGGGCAAGCGATGGAGTGATGAGGCGAGTAGCACGATATGCAGGAAGAAAAAAATTAACCAAGTTTGTCTCTACGACCGGGTTTGGAGTTTATTCTTCATTCATGCTTGTACCGCCTCATCGTTACTTTGCACCGTTCCACTAATAAGATTTGAATTACTATTATAACATATTAGCCCCACGTTTGTGGCAGCCTTCACCTCAATGTGGGCCGTGCTTAAACTAGGAACATCTATGCCCAAAATACTGACTTATTACACACCTGGCCTAACCCTCTGTACGCACTGCATATAAAGCAGTGGCTCCAAACCGTTTCCTTAATTTCTTTTTCTTTAACCGTTTTTTGCCACCAATTGTGTGTATAAATCAACCTTTATGGTGCTTGATCTGCATGTTATATTGTTTGAAAGAAGGTGGGTCGAGAACCCAGTTCTACATGGACGTCGGCAATAAGATTCATCACCCAACAACGCATGATGTTTTTTTTGTTTCCTTATAATGCATTTCATTGGTCAACTTGCAATACTTTAGGGCCCTCTTTTGCAAATACATTGGAAATTTAACTATGTGACCAACAAGTACTGGGCAGGGAGTCATTTCGGTATTTCAAAAAGCAGTGTCATTCAAGAGTAAAGCATGCGCGTGAGTCCTTATAGGGCCGCGCTGATAGGGTAGACGGGCGTTTCACGCATCTCCGAATGACCTCGGACGCGCTTCATCTTGGGCATGCGCTCTTGGAATACTGAACGGTCTTGGCGTGCTTCCCCATGCTATAAGTTGAAATGTCAAATTGGGAAAAATTGAAATATAAATACTCTTTTGATTTTTTCATTCTTAAAATGTGAAGCATTCTGCAAGTTTGTATTACTTGAATCAAAGTTTGGAATAATGTTGCACAGCTGACACCAACTTTTTCACGGGGCAGTTTTTAAGTACAAGAACAGGTGTAATGAACAGAATAATTGTCAGCTATTTGTGTCAATCACCGTGGTCTCAACAACCTGCATAGATCCTTCACTTGTTTCAAGCACTGAGTTTCAATGTTTGCAGTTTATAACTGTTCAGTTTAGTACAGTTAGTAACTTGTAGGCGTCTTTTTTTTCAAGGCACGTGCATGTAATGGCGTATTCAATTTATTTATTTCGTGTGGGCACCTGTGATGGAAGCTTGGATATCCAAAGGGCATTTCTCAATGTCATAACTAGCTGGTTATGAAAAGCGTGGAGTGTCTGTCCTCGGCAGAGTCAAAATATTGCTTGATTGGGGGAATGATTGAGTTGGAGATGTTCAGGGTATTGTACAAAGGAAGTGGACCTGATCTTTTTGCTTGCAAAAACCACACGATCCTTGGCCGAAGCAGCAGAGAAGGTACCTGCGCGACTTTAGCCGTCAATGGTGTCTGTCGTGTTCTCCCTGACTCCATCCGTGTGAATAAATAGATTTGTGCTGCAATCCTTTTTACAAGCAACATCCATTAAGCGTTCAGGCAAGGCACTCCTATCCCTTATGTGAGCAAAATTGGTTCTTTTTTAATATCCCTTACTTAACTTGTTTTCGAACTTGCACTAACCGACTTCTATGAGCAATGGGTGTATTCTGTTCTTGTCCCTAAAACACTAGGCTGCAGGGTCAAGCACATTGAGGAAATAAGTTATCCAATCTGAATATCATTATATCGTCGTTATTTTTTATCTGCATTTG